TTTCAGCACGGCTCAGCCGAGCCGAGGCATATGCGTTCGGCTCGGCTGAGCCGCTCGGCCATGATCGGGAGCTGTACGGGCTATTGTGAATAGCCCGTACAGCACCCCTTTGGTTCTACTGAACCGAAGGGGTCCTGGGGCCGAAGCTAGACGAAGGATCGTCCGAAGCTACGGCTAGATCCTTCGGCTGCTTCGTGAATAGACCTATATAGTAATTACGGTAATATTATGTCTGTGCTTCAGGCTAGGTTCACACCTAAGCAATTTATATATATCGCGCAAGAAACAGATTCCCATTGAAGTCAATGGGGCCTGTTCACACCTTTGCTTTGCGTTTTGAAACTTTGGCTTTTCGGTGAACCAGGCCCAGATTTCTTAACTCTTGCACATATGCACGAAAGTTACTTCATTTCTGCCGAGCCTGCGCAGCTAAGTGTACATAATCAAAAAGAGTGTTGACAGGCAGATAAGAGGATCAATGACAAAAGATACTCACACAGTCTCTTCTGTCATAAAAAAGCTGCCGGTCAGCACTTTTTTAAAATAAAAGACTTGACTTACGCTTTAACTGCACTGAAAGAAAATCAGATCTCTTGTCCTGCCAAGCAAGTGCTGTGCCAAGTGATGGGCCTGTGCAAATCTCAGGACTGGATGGACACAAATCCAAATCCTTTGGAAGGTAAAACAGCTCCCAAAAACATATATCGGTGTATTTAGGTGTTTGCCTGGAGTTCAGCTTTAAGCTAGTAAGTATGAGGTGCAGTGTGATTCATATTAAACATTTTTAACATAATTATGTCATCTAGGCAATCTCTGCTTGTCCTCATATGTACAGGAAGTGTATAATGCAGCAAGCATTAGACAGGTTCAGAGTGTTGGTTATGTGTTTAGATGAAGCACTAGGAATGCTGAATTAAGTTTTACTAGCTTAGGCGGATATTATATCAGAATACAGCATTATGCAGGAAACATAGTGAAGGGAATTTATCAAAATTGGAGCAGACAAAATCTGGAGCAGCTGTGTATGGTAACCAATCAGCATCTCTTTTATTTTAAAATCTTAACTGAAAAAACTGAAGAGAGAAGCTGATGGTTGCCCTGGGCAACTGCTCCAAATTTTGTCTGCTCCAGTTTTGATAAATTCCCCTCACTGTATATATAGGAAAACTTCTTGTGTATCATAGATAAGGATGCATATTGATAGACTAACACTGCACTACAGCGCCACCTACAGCTCAAAAGACAAATTGTCAGCATATACTGTTGCATTTCCAACACAGAACACCTTCTTAGATGCTGTACTGAGTCATATCAAATATAGCGGAGAACCACATGAGCACCCCCCAGGATACTGACTGCAGGCCACTGCTTTACATTTAGTTGTTATTGTAAGTTGTATTTGTTTCCTGACAAATAATCACATTCACTGTCTTATACGGAAACAAAAACATAAAATATTCATAAGAACCACTGACATGATTAATTATTGTTGATTTCTGCTTACACAGGTGTCTCCTTTATTTGGAACCATATACGATGCGATTTATTTCACGGCACATGCTATGAACAGCAGCAAGAAGCACGGCTGGGTTTCTGGGTCCAGCTTAGTCAAGCATTCAAAAAACATGCAGTTTTATGGCTTTAACCAATGGATTAAGACAGATATGAGTGGCAATGGATTCACAGACTATGTCATTCTGGACACAGATATAAAGACCTGGGAACTTTATCGAACCTATGTTGTGGATATGGAGACAGATATGGTCAGATTCATGGGAAGAGCCATTCACTTTCCAAATGGTGCCTCCCCAAAATCGGATTCATACTGCTGGTTTGCAAATGATAAAATCTGCACTGGAGGTGAGAAATACGCTCCGTATGTGTTTATAGTTTCTATAGATGTTTAAGGTACACAAAGAATGTCTGTATGCAAAATGTACCAATATTCTTATAAATGCAATATGCTGTACATAACAATTACATAATATCTAAAAAAAAAGGGAGCGCCATGGTTCATTGCACTGGCACCTTCCATAGTCTTGTAGCTATGAAAAGTATTATTATTATTATAATACAGGACTTATATAGCACCAACAGTTTGCGCAGTGCTTTACAATATAAGGAAGACATTACAGTTACAATACAATTCAGGACAAGATAGTTAGGAGGGCCCTGCTCCTAAGAGCTTACAATCTAAAAGGGAGGGGTAAGTGATACAAAAGGTAGTAGCTGTGTAGGGACGAGTTATTTGAGAAAGTAGTAATTCAGTTGGTAGAGGCTGGAAAGACTTTCCTAAGGAGATGAGTTTTTAAGGGTCGCCTAAAGTCAGTCAGAGTGGCAGATAGCTGGAAAGATTGGTGTACGGAGTTCCAGAGGTTTGGAGAGACTTTGCAGAATTCCCGGAGGTAAGCATGATAGATGCTGACGAGGGAGCTAGAAAGCAGGAGGTCTTAAGAGGAGCGGAGTGGACAGTTAGGGTGATACTTTGAGATGAGGTTGGAGATATATCCAGGGGCAGAGTTGTGGATGGCTTTGTAAGTAGTTGTTAATATTTAGAATTGTATTCTTTGGGCAACTGGGAGCCAGTGGAGGGATTGACAGAGGGGGGCTGCAGACATTGATCAGTTGGTTAGGTGGATGAGCCTAGCAGCAGCATTTATAATAGACTGAAAAGAGGATAGCCTGTGCACAAGTAGGCCAATAAAGAGGGAGTTGACGAGACAAGAGGTAACAAGTTAGTGGATTAGTAGCTTTGTGGTTTCATTGGTTTAGAAGGGGCAACTATGATGCAGAGTGAAATAATGTATATTCTAAATAATAAAAATACCATAGTACTATATTCTTGAGAAATATTATGAAACACTCTGAAGGGTATTCATCACAACTGGAGCAGAAAAAATCTGGAGCAGATGTGCATGACAACCAATCAGCTTCTCTTTTCATTAACTGAAGAGAGATGCTGATTGGTTGCCATGCACGGGTGCTCCAGATTTTGTCTGATGCAGTTTTGATAAATTCCCCCCGTTATATTTTTCTGTTAGTAATCAAGTACTTGTTATCTCAGAGTGTTTTCAATGAAAAGAAAAATCGGTATCTGGGAGAACTCACCTTCAACATAATCTGATCCCGTGCGGGCGATCACATTGCGGCCGCAGACCGTGGCTACGGTGCCATTCACTTCAATGGCCCGCCATGCCCCCTCCTGCCCCACTAAAAAGTGACCCGGCCGCAATGCGAGGCAGTGCGTTCTGGCCAGAATCGGGCCGGAGCGCACTGCAACTGGTGTGAACAGGCCCTAAGTGTTACTAAACAGCAGCAGAAAAAAAATCCAGAAGCCAGACAGGGTTGTGTGCTGTGACAGAGCTGTGTAAATCTCAGTACTGAGTAAAATACAATCCTTTGGCAGGTAACACAGCTCCCTTATATGGATTTTATCTGTGTATTTAGCTGCTTGCCTGGAGCTGAGATTTATATCTGGTCAAGAGCTGGTAATGAAATACTTGGATGCAATACGAAGAGATATAATTCAAAGCTCAATACTTATTTGTATTCTGCTAATAAAAGACTAGGTAAAAAAATGTATGAGCCAACAAAAAACAGTAAATGGAATATACATGAACAAAGAATTTTAAAGATGTATTAAAAGATAAGTGCTCTCCAGCCTACTATTAACTTTGAGATGAATGTTTTTCCATCTGACCACTTTTCAGCTTCCGCTAAACTTATTATGTCATTAATAAATTAAATGAAAAATTATAATAACCAGTATGTATTCTCTAATTTGGCTTAATGCAAGCCCCCCTTCCTTTCCTAAAACATTTTCTATATCAGCACGGAGAACCAGCGAGCTCCGTCTGACACGAATATTCAGTCTAGCTCTGTGTGTGTGCAGAATAGTGACGTGGAAATCTCCCAGATTCCAATAGACTTTTTGTGCAAACTGGTGGGGTTGAACATTTCAAAGGCCTCAAAAACTGAAATATATACAGTATATTTCACAGTGCTATGGGCCGGGTGACATGAGATGGTAATATTCACACGGCTGCCAATGCAGAATCCTCTCATTCAAGGCAGGACTTGGCTGATAGCTCATGTGCAGATAAGGTTATTTGAAGCAACAATACAACAACAGAACAGAGAGCACTGGCTTCACAAAAGATGTTTATTCATTTTATTAAATGAAAACCAAGAACAAGTGTAAAAATGTCCGGCATTAACAGTTAATGGCATTGCAGGCAGCATGGCAAAAAAGGTATAAAATCCAATAAAACTAAATTAACACAAACTACTATTAATGGACAAAACTGATTTTTCTTTATTATTGTTTTCAAAATATAATATAATCAGTAAAAAATGAAAAAAAGTGAATGTCAAGATTATAATAAAATACAAAAACTGAGCCAACGACTTGGGCTGAAAACAGCATTATTGACATTAACCACAACTTTCCCCTTTAAACACCTAAAGGTGACCAACCAACGGAATTATGGCCGTGACAAGGGGGAGGGTGGAGGACTCATTACTGCCAATCTTTGCCAACTGGTGCCCTTGGTAGCGGCACCAGAAAAGGGGGGCAAAGAATCTGCCAGCTGTCATGATCCCATAAGGGGTGGGGAGGCTTTAAAAATGTACCCCTACTTTCCATTCTGTCTGTTGCCAGGCAGAAACTAGTCCCTGAACACGCATGTTTCCGCAGGACACCTCTAGTGTCCACACAGAAGGTTATGTAATGGTGGATGCTTTTCTGGTGTCCCCACCTTTTCCTCAGAGCCTAAGGAAAGGGTGTGGAATCCCAGAAACTCATCAGCCATTACATAATCTACTGTGTAGACAATAGATGCATGCTGTGGAATCATGCCTGTTTAGTGCCTAGATTCTGCCTGGCGACAGAATTAACTGTTATATACTGGACATCTTTATACTTGTTTGTGAGTATAGATCCTGGTTTCTATTTAATAAATTGACTAAACATGCTTTGTTCTGTTGTATTGCCCTCTAAAACTGAATAAGCATTAATTGGTGGACTTGTCCTTTAAAAACATGCCCAAAAATGGCTTAAAGGGTATGAATGGCCAAAAACTGTGTACCGCTACAGTCATATCCCTTCATTTCCTGTCCTGGTAATGCAGCAGGAAATGCCTCTCCAAAATGAACTTAGAGAGTTGTCATAAGAACAGATGTCCAAATGGGAGGATCTTCCTTGCTCTGGTGACAACTAAAATTGTGGATATTCCCTTAATTTTTGTTTCAGTGAAAATAGTAAAAAGGACAAATAGGGAGGTTGAATCTCCCTATAAAAGCCTGGAAGAGGTTTTAACTCATCCCAACACTATCTAAAACTAAAAATACCTTTAAAACATTACCCAAAATTTTTAAAATAAACAATTTTTTTTTAACAGTCATATCCTGCATTCCATGTGTGTGCACATACCCTCTACTCCCTTCACTACAATGCTCAGCATTAATACCTAAAAGAGAAGTATGGCCATACCTTTTTTTGGCTTTAGTCCTCTTTTAGATCAAAGGAGTACATTTAATAATGTACTCCTGTGACCCAAAGTCAGCATCTAGAGGGCAACTGACAGCATAGAGCCGAGCTGCAACCAGGAAAGGTCCCTACAACATTGTTGGGATCCACCCCACTGGCTGATTGACAGCTGGCTGTGCCTCTCTAGAGCCAGTGCCAGCTGTGCCCACCCCTTTCCCCTGACTGTCACTCCAATGAGCACTGGATGAACAGAGAGGGGAGGGGGGAATCGCTGTAGGGGGGTAGTGACTGACAGTCACTGCTCTCTGCAGGGAGAAGGCCATAGATGAGTGATCAGCAGTTTGTGATAGCTCAGTTCTGGAGCTATAGAGCTGGCGTGTGACAACTGCAGTGTCACGTGAAGGCTCTAAGTATTGGAAAGAGTACATTTTACTCTCCCAATACTTCTTCTTTAATAGGTTTTTCTTTTAAATGTAAACTGCTGATATTTCTCAGAGAACTCCGGTTGTGTTCATTGGACTGCCACTCATTGAGGCGTCTTTCAAACAGCTGCATTTGTATCCAGATAACACAATTCATATTCCCTGGGGTCTGTCATTTCCTTTTATTATCTGCTCTCAGCTCTCAGCTCTCAGCATGCAATCATTTTACAATGTAATATTGATGGTGTAGATTACTACCACTGATTTCCTCACAAGTCGATTTATTGACTGTACATTCATTAGCTGGGGGGCTTTGTGTGCATGTGACCTGGTGATATTAAAATACAATATTATCCATTTGCCAGTTTTTCAGAAGCAATACATGTCAGTTTTTCATGGTGGGTGATGTCAGATATGTAACAGGTATGTGAAAGGCATTTGGCAAGCTAAGCGGTTACTGCAGAATTGCTTTGTGGTACTGAAATGTGCTAGATATTTACATGTTATCTTTATGTCTTTCTATTTTTTTAAATGATTTTTATGTGGTGTGTGTATCACCAGCAGAGAAAAGCTGGCCATACATGTGAAGATCATTCGGTCTAGTGCAATTTGGTTCTTTTACCCGACTCCTGGATATGTATCACCCAGATCTCTTTTTTTTATTATTCACAAGTACTCCATGCCCTCTTCTCACTTGTTTGTAACCTTAGGCCAGCCATACACGTCAAGAGATCTCTTGAAATATAGAGAAACCAATAGATTTCCCCATCCATGCTTAACAGTGTGGCTAGACAAATCTCCCCTGCCAGGCTATTGTATTCAGGCAACTGACACCAAGGGCTGTCAGACAAACCAGTGGGCTACAATTCACAACCAGACACTTAATCTAAGCACAGGCCTGGCAGGGCAGGAAAGGAGGGAGATGAGCAAGCTCCT